TTTGAGACTAGTCCCATGTGTGCTGCCTGCAACCTTTAGTTTCGACCACCAGGGGAAATATTGCTGTGTCCTTTTGTCAATCTCCAAATAATTAAAAAATAAAAATATAATAAAACATCAGGTCCATAAAAAGTGCTGTGTGTTAACACATCAAAAACAGTGAGAACACTTTACTGAACAATACAAGTATTGAACATTGAACTTGTTGCTTTTCCTCTGCTTCAGATAATATAAAATAAATAAAATAGATCCATCAATCACAGTGCTGTAAGTTAGCACATCAAAAATAACACTGTTCGTCATCACAAAATAAAGTGTTGAAATAACATCACGCAGTCACTTTTAGTAGGTTACAGAGGACATGGCAGCAATGTGACCTCATGCCTCCTATTTCTTCTTCTTCAGCCAGTCGTTCAGAAAGACCAGCTTGGTCACATTTTCTTGGAGCAAGGCTGCCCTTTTCTTTTGCACTATGTGGCCTGCTAGGCTAAACAGTCTCTCACAAGGTACGGAGGTTGCCGGGGAGGCCAGGTACATGTGTGCTAGGGCTGACAGCTTTTCATACCCCTTTTCCATCAAGAAGCACCAGGTGCTAGCTCTGTGAGCATTACACCACTGCAGGGGACAGTCATTATTACTGATGCTGGGCTCTGCTCTTTGCGCGACTTCAGCCGATCTGGAAGTCAAAACAATATAGCCTAAAGACCAAGCTACAACTATAAAACAGTAACGTAAAATCAGTCCTCCTCTATGGATCAGAATGCTGGCGTGTTGTAAAGGCAGACATGGACAAGATCAGTGCTTTCCACAACAGGTGTCTACGAAAGATTTGCCGTATCTTTTGGCCTCAGAAAATATCAAACGAAGACCTGTACCGCGAAATGGGCTCAAACAACATCATTCAAGAAATTAAACGTCGGCGTCTTAAGTGGCTCCCGAAAACATCAATTTGGTGGACCCCTGTTGGGAAACGCAAGCCTGGACGGCCTAAAACCACCTGGCGAAGAACAGTCGAGGCAGAGCTGCTAGAGATGGGACTGACTTGGGGCGAGGCGTTGAAGTTAGCGAAGAACCGAAAAGAATGGCGTCACCATGTCGCGGCCCTATTTCCCACTAGGGAAGATGGGGATAAGTAAGTGGGCTCTCTTCTGTAGCGCTGCAGCTCTACAGACTCCATTCATTGATGTGGTAGACTAAACTTGAGCTGCTTCGGTGGTAAGCAAACTCCTTCTTACAAAGAGGGCCTATCACTCTGCCCTTTATCAATGGTGCTGTCGGGACATTTCTGAAATGTATATTTCCCAGTCATTGGACCGACAGCTTCACATGCTCCTCCATTGTCTCACTGCTCCTCACCTTGGCCTTCCAACGACAACGGGAACCTATCACCTCTTGCTAAACAAGCCCAAACACAATGACAGCCAATCAATAACCACTTCAGGGTGTGACTGACCATTGTTTTCCACCCCCCAACAACTCAAGCACAAGAAGCCCAATGCATAAAAACAAATTTTATAAAAAAAGGCTACTTGCACACAGAAACAGTAAAGTTGGAGAAAATTAGATTAACGCAATTGAAAAACATAACGTGTTAAATCTGACTGTAATTAATCAATCACAATTAACACAATAATTTGACACCTCTAGTGTCAATGTATAATGTGTACAGAAGTGATATCTGGCGTCTAAGTTTTCATTTCATCACTCACAACAAGAGAAGCCAAACTCCACAAATGTAGAAAGACAGCAACTTCATGGAAAAGTTGCAGTCAGTCTGCCATCTAAGTGTACACATTTATTTCCCAATCAAAGGTTTGTGGGATTTTAATTCACACTATTGACAAACCTTTAGTCGAGCTTGACTGTCAGCTGGAACAAAGAACGCTGGAACATCTTATTTCCATCATTACCTTGACTAAATCTAATAATGGGATTTAATAGTAATTGTTGGAGAGATTTTAAGTTTGTTCCTTGCATAAGTAATCCAAACTTTCCCAGACCAAACATACTGTATTACTCACAGAGCATGTAAGCGGGTTTCTCTGTGTTTACATAGTGTAGTCTCGCTTGTTCTAAACATAAACAAACTAGCTCCACCAAGTGAAGGACAATAAAGGCTTTCTTTACAAAAAATAAATTTAACTCATCCTTACCATTTTCTTTTCTGTTCTGCTGTTACCATTTTAGCTTTAAAACTGTAACCTTTGCTTTGAGTTGGCTCCTGCTTTCTCAGTCCCACAAAAACATACAAAGAGAGAGTGAGAGACTAATTAGAAACATCTCATGACTGCAGCAGAACAACATGAACTCAGTTAAGCATGGACTGCCAAACCCTGTTTTCTCACAGAAACAGTGTTCTGTGGAGTTGTGCTGACTTCTCAAAAACAAAGTTCCCAAAGAAAGAAAGAAATACTGGCAGGATGAGTGAGAGCTGAGCTGAAACAGGACAGTTTTTGTTTTCAGTATTCCTGAAAGTTGACATATTTAAGATATCTAGATTCGATTAGATTCAATTAGATAGAACTTTATTGATCCCTTTGGTGGGGTACCTCAGGGAAATTGTTTTACTCGTAGCAACTCAACACCAACACAACATTATTATTATTAATAATAACAATAATAACAA